GGGGGGGCTTTGTTGCCATAGTGATAAACGTGTGAGCATCCAGCATCTGGGATAAAAGGACCCCCCCACTTTTTTGCCTCCCCGACCCCATCTGCCCCTTGTTGAGACTTTGGAAAAGAGGCCAAAAGACATTTGGCTTTTATTTGGTCAAAATGGCATTTCCCTGGTTACCCAGCACAGGTCCATCCTCAAACACAGCACGAGGTGCTGGCTGGGAAGGGGAGGGGCTTGGGGGATGCCCAATGCCTGCAGCCCCCCAGGACCCTTACTGGGGATCTGGCAGGACCTCTCTGATGGTGTCCAGCACCCCCCAGCACACATCAGGCAGCACTATGTCCCTGATGGCTCCCACGAGTGTCCAGGTCCCTGTCCTGGTGGGATCACAGACCCAGCTGCAAACCCATAGCAGGGCTGCGAGCAGCTTGAGGGTCCCCAAAACCGGTGGGTGACCTGGGCTGGGACCCCAGGAGATCACTGAGGCAGACCCTGTCTCCTGCCTTTGCTGAGGAGTTCTTTTCCCAACCCAGCAGAGATCCAATGCTGTCTAGTTGGCATCGGTCAATATTGGAGGCCTTATTGCAGCCTTTCGATACCTAAAGGGGCTACAAGAAACCTGGAGAGGGGCTTTGGACAAGGGATGGAGGGACAGGACAAGGGGAATGGCTTTAAACTGACAGAGGGGAGATGGGAATGAGCTTTTAGGCACAAGCTCTTCCCTGTGAGGGTGCTGAGACACTGGCACAGGGTGCCCAGAGAAGCTGCGGCTGGCCCATCTCTGGCAGTGTTCAAGGGCAGGTTGGACACAGGGGCTTGGAGCAACCTGCTCTAGTGGAAGGTGTCCCTGCCTGTGGAACTGGATGAGCTTTAAGGTCCCTTCCAACCCAAACCAGTCTGATTCTGTGATCATGTGTGTGTGGTGTGTGTGTATTTATGTACATGTGTGTCTACAAAAGGCTGCAGTGGGAGTTTGGGGTTGGCTAATACCCATGTGGTAGCCATGAGTAAGTGCTCAGGGTGATGGTATCTGCTCCAAGCCAGCCTTGTTATGCTGAACGAGCCTCTGGATGCTGCTGGGGTGGCCCAGGCCAGCAGTCCCATCCCCAGAGCCACCCCAGTGTCTCCCAGCAGCCTGGAGCAATCCCAGTTCATGCAGCCACTTGGAAGTGGACCTGGAGCCAGTGTGGAGCGATGCTCTTCAGCACACACTGGGGCTTCCACACCGATCTCCTGGGTGTGAGATCCCGACTCCACACTGGAAAACATGTCGAGGCAGAGCCCTGCACTGCGAGATGGGCCTGAAACGTTGCCTGCACCCAATTATTCATTCCTTTTTCTGTTGCTTTCTTTGTATTTATTTTGTGGCCCCCACCCTCAGCACTCTTTTGGCAGTTAGTTAAAATACTGATTTTGATATTAAGTACAGTGTAAATCACCCAAACCAGAAGCTCATCATGCGCTATGGTTACTAAAGGGGAAAGGGCCACCCCAAATTCAGCTTGGGCATGGGATAAAGTAGAAGGTGCTCCACTGTGATCCAGATTCCCTTTCCCTGCTGATGTTCTGTCCCCATTTGCCACCAGGGCTGGAGCTGTGGCGGTGCAGGGGTGATGTGGGTGGTGCTGAGGGGATGCTCACCAGCATCCTGAGGGATTGCTGGATGCTTCCATGCTGCTGCTGAGCTTTTCCTTCCCTCTGCAGGCGGGCGAGCTGTTTTCTCCCGAGACGAGACCAACCACGTGATCAAAATAGAGTCCTTCAAGGTGACAGTTGACTTCTTGAAGGTGCCCCTGGGCCTGAAGAAGCCCCCTCTGAAGGAGGCTCTGGCCGCTGTCCCAAGGCCAGGGAGACCCAAGCCCCTCAGTGTGGAGCGGCACAAGCCCCGGCGCTCCGACAACATGGACAATGAGTCGCAGTACTCGGGATATTCCTACAAGTCCGGGCATTCCCGCAGCTCCCGCAAACAC